CGCAGCTGCGGGCAGCCACCTCACCGCGGCTGCAGACCGTCCTCCTGGACGTCACCTCCAGCCAGAGCATCGCTGCCGCCACCGCCTGGGTCCGGGAGTGTGTGGGCGACCAAGGTAGGATGGGGCAGCTGCCCCCATTGTCATCCCTATTGTCACACCTGCCGGCCCTCCCACCGCTCTACCAATCCGTGCCAGCACAGCTGGTGCTGGAGCAGGGCTGTGGGCAGGGGAGCTCACCCCGTCCCACTTCCCCAGGTCTCTGGGGGCTGGTGAACAACGCGGGGACCGCCATCCCCACCGCCCCTAACGAGTGGCTGACCAAGGATGACTTCGTCAAGGTGCTGGATGTCAACCTGGTCGGCCTCATCGAGGTGACGCTGAGCCTCCTACCCCTGGTGCGGCAGGCACGGGGCCGGGTGGTCAACGTGGCCAGCGTGATGGGCCGGCTTGCCTTTTTTGGCGGGGGTTACTGCATCTCCAAGTTTGGTGTGGAGGCCTTCTCTGACAGTCTCCGGTAAGTCCGGCACAGTAGACACCACCCTCAGTTTCCCAGTTTGCTTTTCCGGGCTTCGGCCAGCAGAGCCTCCGTCTGTCAAACCCCTTCCTCGTGCAACCACAAGCGAGCGCAGGCAGAGTTCATTTTAGCTGCTGCTGAAGCATGAGCGGAGGGGCTGCGGGGATGCTTAACATGTGGACCAGACGTCAGGACACCTTGTGCCACAGCTATGGGACTTGGGTCCCACGGGAGCAATCTCCTGCCCGGGGGGACCCTCGCCTGCCACTGGCAGCCTCTGCTCCGCTTTCAGCCAAGCTCACGCAGAGGCAGCCTGGGGGAAGGGAAGGCAAAGGACTTGGCAGAGCTTTGATTTCATCCCCCTGCCTGATGACTTCCCAGCAGCAGGGAGGCTGTGGCCACATGGGCACTGAGCCTCCCCCATTGGACCTCACCCCCACACCGGATCCTGCGGGCAATGGCCATGTGGTCCCAAGGTTTGCTTTGGCCCCCATCCCATCCAGACTCAGCAGACATTTGCTCGCACACTGCCCCAGACACATGCCGGGGCTGTCGCGGGGTCTGCTGGGGTGGTCAGGCTCCCCACCGTACCTCCGGCACAAGGCTGCCATGTGTCCCACATGAGAACCGGTGCCCACGCGCAGCCCACACTGGTGGGCGGCTGACGCGCTCGGGTGTTGCTGCTGCATCCCATGGGGCTTGATCCCTTCTAGACTTGAGATGTGCAACTTCGGGGTGAAGGTCAGTGTGATCGAGCCAGGCTACTTCAAGACAATGATCACCAACGCTGAGAACATGGAGAAGCATTTACTTTCCATCTGGGAGAAGCTCCTGGAGGAAACCAAAGCAAGTTACGGGGAGAATTACTTGAGGGAGTGTAAGTACCTCACCCAAAGGCTAAGCAATGCTGTTTTTCTCCTGACACAAGGCACATCCCCAGGGCCACGGGGTGTCCCACTGCCCCGTCATCCCACCAAGCCCTTTGGCTGTGTTCAGCTCAAGGGTCTAAGCCCGGCAGCCTGACCAGCACTTTCTGCCTTCGCAGGTTTGGTAGCACTCAGGAAGATGCAGGAGAGATGCAACTCCAACCTGACGCTGGTCACGGACTGCATGGAGCATGCATTGACCAGCCGTTTCCCACGCACCCGCTACTCTGTGGGGTGGGATGCCAAGCTGCTCTACATCCCCCTCAGCTACTTGCCATCAGCCCTCACAGATTTCATACTCACCTGGTCCTACCCCAAACCTGCCCAGAAAGCCTAAGGCAGGGACACGGCACAGGCAGCCAACGGGCAGCAGTAGCCAGGGCCCGGCAGTACAGGGTGGGATCCAGCATCGCCCACAGCTGAGGCCGTGCCAATAGGTTCCTGAATTTCTAACTCAATGTATGTCTCACAACTCGCTGTCCTCTGCTAGCAGTCTGGTTTGCTTCTGAATAAAGACAACTCCTCCTCCCTGGCAGGGCTTGGTTTCAGCCTCGGCTGGGGCTGCGGCACTGAGGCCGTGTCCCTGCTCCTCCAACAGCCACAGCACTGACGCCAGCCG